CCCTCATATAAATCTTATGCCCACTATGTCGATCGCAACAATGTTGCCAACATTGTATTATCATTGGAAATAAATTCGGGCGAGCAGTACCGTTGTCATATAACTCAGGACAGAACCCGCGTTGGGAAACGCACCACAAAGCGACTTTTTATTGAAAAATAATACCCTGGCCATAATTAAATCGCAGCTGTGTTAATTCGTTTGATTTTACGATCAGGGGCATCAAAAGGGCCGACATTTTAATAATTCCATTCAGTTTCGTGGAATGGTACGCTACGCCGATGACGTCGTCGCAGCCTTACGGCCTTTCTTAGAAGTCGAAATGTATTTGCGGGCAACAATGCTCCAGACCGATTGTCTGCAAATTTCGCCGTACACAGCGCGCTGAGCCTTATGAATGAAATTTCAGTTTGCTCTGCTACCCACAGGAGGAAAATCGGACATCGCTAAAACCGACAATTATTGCAAAAACAACAACTTTTCTATTTTTATTCTTACAAATTTTGAAATAGGGACAATTTTTTTAAAGAATTGATCATTATTCGTATAAACAATCTAGCAACAACTACCATCGAGAATATTGTATAATTCTAGTTATCAATGTATTTATTTTATTTTTAGTGATTGTAGGCCACAATGGATTAGATAGATGAACACTATTTTTGGGTACTTTAAAAACAAATTCCTTTAAAATTGTTAGGGCTAATTCAAAATAATATTAAAAATATTCCTAAATTCTCATCAAATGAAACAGAGCCAAGACGCGCCCTTGTTCTTGATTGACATGATTTCTTGTTGAACTTTATTTGGCAAATCATAGTCTACTACGATTTTTTTGGAAACAGTTTTTCGAAACTGCACTTTAGAAATTGTAGCTTTACAAATCTAATTACATAGCCTTAGGTAATATCAATTAAAAGACCAGTATTTCAAATTTCATGAATAAACAATTGGTGCAAGGAAGCTTAAAGTCTTATTTTTTTTTCTGTTTTTATATTTTGAAGACACTGGAAATTGGAAATCCCTGAAGATGAAGAATTAGCTAATTACTGGCACTCTGTCAGTTAGAATTCATAAATAATAGAATCTTATGACACTTGACTGACTTTGATGATAACCAAATATACTAAAGAAACAGCACTATAGGCAATAGTTGCTTTAAGGATTTCACAAGCCGGATTATTACTTAAAATACCATGATTTTTGGGTTGTTACGCCGCGGCCTTTGTATCAGGTCTCAGCCAGCTACGGACTTACTTGGTTAGCTTTAGCTAGAAATTTTCAGCTGGTCCTTGTTGTTCTCGGGCTAGGCTGTGTGAGGGCGAACCCGCTTTCGGTTCTTGTTGTTGGTTCTAACACAAGACTCGCTCGCGACAAAACTTTTGCAGAACCACTACTGAAGATGGAACAGTGGAGGGAGGGGCAACATTTGGATTCGGAAGCATTGGATGCGACTAGTTACATAAACCACTACGAAACGTCTCAGAGGACCTTCATTGTCTGAGGAGCGGTATTAGGATCAACAATAAGACCAAAACCAATATATTCTGCAATTAAAGCTACATTATGTGAATACTAGATGATCCCAAATTATAGAAAATAAGGAAGAAAAAATCGGCATTTGTCTGGAAGCACCTTGATATACGAGGCGTTAAATTAAAAAAAAAATTGGGTAAAACGATTTTATTTAAATTCGGTATACTGTTTAATTTCTTGATTTTCCAAAAACATATGTATTTTTTTAATACAAGTTTGTAATTTGAGGGTAGACTTGTCTTCCAAATTGTTCTCATTAATTTGGAGACACTTTGTATACAAAATTTATTTTGTGAAATGAAAATCTGACACTTTTTAACATGTTAATTAAATATGTTTGGAGAATTTGGACCACCCTTGAACACTTGCTTCCTTTCTTTCACGACGATTTGGACAGCTGACAATAAGTTCCCCGGCGATTTAAAAATACGTCGAAAAATAAAACTCGAAAATATGAAGTATAATTGTGTCATTTTTTATTTATCCGTTCGGTGAATCATTGAGATAATATGAATATTAATAATTCATCTGAAGGAAAAACATTCTAGCGTTGCCCAGGTCTTGTACAAATCCGTTACTGTCAAACATAATAAGAATCTTTCCGCCCTGTCGTTGGATATGTGCAGTTAGCCTAAAAATACCCGCATTATAATTCGAAGTGTTATAAATGTTAACTTTAACTCGATCAAAGTTGCCTCTGCGGACGCTCGAGGTAGTAATGGTTATTTTGGGAATCCTAGGAAATTTTACACTGGAAAAAATATTTTCTATCCAGCAAATGTTTGTACGTTATTTAGTATACTTCGCGCGCCTAACGAAAATTGAGTAAACTGTTGTCAAAATGTGGAGAATTTGACTTTTTTCACTCTTTTTTTATTCTGTCACTAATTTCTTTTTTCTCCTTTTGTTTTCCCTTGATCCTCACTATTCCTTAAGGTCCTTACACCTTCCTTTATATTCTTATAACGTTCTCTTTTTTCCTTCATTTCACTTTAAACTTTATTATCTATTATTTACTCTTCTAACATTCTACTGACAAATTTTATATTAATTTCCCTGAATTATTGTTTACTATATTTTATTTTAATTTACATTACCATTTTTTTTAACCTAATATTGATTTTGTATTTGCCATCTGCCTTATTTGACATTTGTTAATTTTGACTTGATAATATTTAAACCTCAAATTTGTGATATTTAAAAGTTAATTTTGTGTTAATACCGTGCGTAAAGTTATAAAAAGAAATTTTAATTTATTTAAGCTACTAATTAACTTATCGCAGTGATGCTTCCAATGCAATTTTCGTCGACATAAAGGCCTAAAAATCGTATTGCGTCATGTGAAGGAGACAAAAAAGTATCATTAATTTTAACCGTAATATTCTCTACTTTTTTTGGTAATTTTGAATTTGTAATAAATTGGTTTTCTCGGCATTAAAAAAGAGGTTATAACTATTAAGATAACTCACAATGTTATTTAAAGCGTCAGAACACCTTCGCATCAAAACGTCACTATTCTTGTCAGAAATTATAATGGCTACGTCATCCGCGTAGACAGTAAGATGACACCCCTTTACAGCAGAATTTAATTAATATATAAGATAAATAGTGCTGGGCCCAGGATAGATCCTTGTGGGACCCCAATGTCAACATTTAAAGTTCTTGATTTAAAATGAGACTTCCGATTATTATTGTTTGTTATAGGCAAAGACAAATTGATGACGGTCACACAAAAATGATTTTAATCAATTTAAAGATTAGATTAGATCTGTACTGGTTCAAAGAACAGAAACAAGGAAAAATAATTTTATGACTTTACTTTTTATCAGTATATTATGACTAAAGCTCAGAGAAAGTTGCAATTCAATGGCGTGCTAAGCGGGTGAACCGAGACATGCGTGTGCCACTGCCTCAGAATGCTTTTCACGTTCACGTCACGTTATTATACTGCTTTGGCTTTGTTATTGTATGGATGTTGCGTAATTAATTCCTATTCATTGGTGTTTAAGATGGTGTATTGTAGACAATTTAATTTGCTGCTTTTTAATAAATAATGCGTACGCCTATGTCTCGCGGCTTAGTTCTGACAGCCCAAATTATGATCATTATTGGCGATATTTAGAAAGCGATACGTGTATATGTTTGTTATTTTTTGTTGCTTATATTTAAGATAAAAGTAGGTTTAAATTTCGATAAAACTAATACTGATACCAATAAATACCAATAATCTAAAAAAGTCTTCCTTATCATAAATTATGTTCCATGTTCCATAGCAGCACTGTTCATTAACTGTTCATTAGCATAATAAAAGTCGGAATCGAAGTCAGGATCATTCGGAACTAAAAGCAGCTAACAATGCGATCATTGTTGAACTCTTTTCGGAACAGGTATTTTTTAAAGCCAAGGCAGTTTGTACTTATTTGCACAAAAACGCTGCTCGGCTGTCCCTAGTCCTTTACACATATATGGGTCATCAAATAAAGTGGAAAGTTGTACCTGTGCTAAATTATAAAGGAAAAACATTCCGAGAATAAAGAATTTATACACTTGCCCTTGGATTTTAATAGAATAAAGATTCGTAACACAAGACTAATGTGGACAGAACTGTAGTCCTTTGGGAATAAGTTTATTTTAATACTATTAAATAATAATAATGTAATAATAATTACCAATATAATTTATATAAAAGAATATTTTTTTAAGTATTAGTATAAAATGTGTATAAAAACGTACAAAATTAACACATTTATTTGAAATTTTTTAATATAATCAAATCACACACCCTACTATTTTTTTTGTCGTAATAGTAGAATAGAGAAATAGTGAATATATATAGAAAAATGCGCGTATATCAATATATGTTTCGTTCTTGTAACTGGACCTTGTGGAAATTCTGAATTTGTCTTTCTCACCGGGTTATCCGTAAATCAAACAAGATGAAGCAACGGAAACGATGCGGTCTATACGAAATTTATTACAGGTTCGTCTTCCAATGCCAAATAATAAAAACCCAAAGCAAATAACGCAGCAACTAGCCTTAATTGATTGTAACACAAAATTAATTATTATCTCTTATTTGTTCCGTTCCTCTGGCAAACACTATAACACTATTTTCATTTTAACTCGGATTGGGCAAATATCCGCTAATAAAATGTCATTTGGACTTTTTATTTACATAGAACTATTTAATACAATACAAATTGATATTATAATGTGTCGTACCCAATTACCTTTATAACTGTATCTAACACAATAAATATAGATCTGTAGAAGCAATATTGTCAACATTGATTATAATTAAAATGTATCTACTGTTGAATAAATATTGTTACTAAAAATATTCACAATAGACAAATTTGGTATACAAATAGATAAATTTGTATACCAACTTCTTATAAGATTGTTTACTGCATTACTTATCGTAGTAGGCAAATCAGTTTTCTCATCGCCGTTTTTTGTTTCAGGAACGCCAATCAACAGACTACCCATAATGGCGAAGTCGGTGCTAGATCTCTACGAATTGTACAACCTGGTGATAGCGAGAGGGGGATTGGTAGATGTTATAAATAAAAAATTGTGGCAGGAAATAATTAAAGGACTGCACTTGCCCTCGTCTATCACATCTGCTGCGTTTACTCTCCGCACACAGTAAGTATACCTGCATACATAAAATGGAAAACTTTGTGGAGAAAATGTACGCGTGTTAAGTTTCTTGCGACAATTTTTTCCTTTGTTTGAAAGACGGTGTGCGCAAAATGTGCAGCTATTACGTCAAATTTGCATTTGTCAAGTCAATGACAAAAAATCTATGCTGTTTATCTCAAACATAAAAGTCGGCTGCAGTATTCAGGGTCTTACAAAAAAGTAGGCCAAGCTATTAACTAATTATTATATAATTATTTGGTTGAAAATAAAGGACTTCCTTTAAGTTATTTTTTAGCGACGCTTTTTTATTTATTTATTTGTTTATTTATTTATTTATTTATTTATTTATTTATTTATTTGGAAACAACTGCCAAGACAAGATAAACCCCATTTACAAGGCAGGTAAAATACAGATTGAAAAAAAGAAAGCAGAATTTACATTAACATCATTCAAACATAAGGCAAATACACTTATGAACAAAAAAAGACAATAAACAGAAAATTTCTACGTCTAAGAAGAAATATCGACATGATTCTGATACCATTTATTGAAGCAAATTGAAGAACATTTATCCTTGGTGTTTTCAATTAAAATAAGATATTGTAGCTAGTTCTTCCAAAATATTAAAATTTAAATACTGTAGTAATTCCCTACAGTCAATTACCCCATTTACAAATTTAGACCAAAACGAAACAGAAAAATAAAGCCTTCTTTGAGCCAAGTCATTTTAGATGAAAACTGATTAGTTGGGATTGAAGCATTCCACAAGGTGGATAGATATCAGATTTGAAACTGAATCTTTTGTAAACTGTTTTTATGAATGGCATAGACTGGTTTTTATACTACGTTAACGTATTCCAGTTTAGAACAAAGTAGTGAATAATAAAAGTAAATAATGTTCACTGAAAACTATTTAGCATTGCGATTGCGAATGGCAAGTCCAAGAGATTTATAGGCACTTTTGCATAATTGAAAGTTAATCGTTGTTAGATCAGATTGCAATTTCGAACAGTCATCGATGTTTTCGATGTACCTGAACAATTTGAGGTCGTCTACATACAACAATATATTATTATCAATACTCAGACTGATGTCATTTATAAATAAATTAAACAAAAGTGGTCCTAAGACCGAACCTTGAGGGACACCTGACATTGCGTGTATATTAACATACTTGAATCCACGGTATTGAATATGTAACATTCTGAGACAAATAGGACTTTATTATTATTTTTTTTAAAGATAGATCAAATTTTAAAATAAGATTTTTATTAATAACGTTGTTTTTTAAAATATCCTGCTAAAATGCACAGACTTTTATGCTATATCGGCAATCTTTTTGTAATAGTGAGTAATCCCTCCAACTTTCTCTCTACACGGCTGTGGTGGTACGTTTAGACATCAAATTTCTTTTTTATACTATATGATAAGACTTTTTTACTTAAATTACACTGAGGAATTGGCATTATTAAATAAAATTAAGAAATGTGGCTTCGGTCAAACTTTTTTAATGTATTCTTTTGAATTTTAGAAATAAGATCAATTTGAATTCGAAATTTTAAGTTAGCAACATTTGAATATTACAAGACAAAACAAACAGAAAAATCAGTATTGAATATTAAACGATTTAAATTCGTTTTTATTATTGTCAAACTGAAACCAGATATTATGTGCTAAGGTCAAATAAATAATAAGAAAAATGTTTTAAAGCAAGTAGCAGATAAAGGGCAATTTTGAAAAAAAAATATGATGTGTTTTATTTTCATTCAATCATGTCGCGGTTGAATAGAAGAAAGATATCAAATTATTATAATAGGAGGTTTTACGTACTTCGATATACAGGGTGTTAAAAAAAGAGTGTAAAATATTTAAGGAGGTAATAGAACCAAAATAAGCAGAAAAGTCTCAATAAACATGGGTCCGCAAAGTAACGGTTGCGGAGATATGGAATGTTTTATGTTTTTTAGTCCCTTTTTTTATTTTGCAAAAACGTTGTGTATTTTCTGAGAATAGTTGGTTGATGTTTAGTGAAATAAACAGTACGTATTTGACAGTTGTTCTCAGTGCACAAGTTTTCTTTCGCTATGGCTGGTTACTCTAACGCAGAATTAACAGACATGCATTTCATGTATGGTCGTGCTAATGGGAACGCCACCGAAGCGCGACGTCTTTATGTTGACGCTTATCCAAATCGCCAGATTCCTTCACAACGCATGTTTGGAAGAATTCACCAAAGATTGCGTGATACCGGTTCCTTGAGCAAACAGTGCCATTTATCCGGAAGACCAAGGTCGGTATCCACTCCTAGAGCAGAAGAAGAAATTCTAGCACTGGTAGAGCAGAATCCAGGTACGAGTGTGCGGAGAATATCAGCCGAGGTAGGAATTAGTGGTCCTCTTGTTTGGAGAATCCTTCACGAGCAACTGCTTTATCCATACCATGTGCAACGAGTACAGGCCTTAAATCCAATAAATGATCATCAAGCACGTTTGGTTTTTTGCCGCTGGTTTCTACGTCATGATGCTGAAGACCCTCGTTTTCTTGCAAACATTCTTTTTACTGATGAGGCCGGGTTCACAAGAAATGGAGTGTTTAATTTTCACAATACGCATATTTGGGCCGACGAAAATCCTCATGCTCTAATAGAATCTGGACATCAGGCACGTTTTTCATTAAACATTTGGATGGGTATTGTAGGTGACAGGTTTCTAGGTCCTGTTGTTTTACCAAACCGATTAACAGGCGCTGCTTACCTCAACTTTCTGCAGAACACACTGTATGAGTTTTTGGAAGACATTCCTTTGAATCAGAGGCAACAAATGTGGTTCCAGCATGATGGTGCTCCAGCTCATTTTTCCATGGCCGTTAGAGAGCATTTACACCAAACTTTTCCACATAGATGGGTAGGAAGGGCCGGACCTGTTTTATGGCCTCCAAGATCGCCTGATCTGAACCCTCTAGATTTCTTTGTTTGGGGATATTTGAAGACATTAGTGTATGGTACTCCTGTAAATAGCCTGGAAGAGCTGCAGCTACGGATTAATCAAAAGTGTCAAGAAATCCAAACCAAGGAGGGTGTTTTCGAAAGAGTTCGAATATCGTTGAGACGAAGATGTCGTGCCTGCTTGGAAATGGACGGAGGGCACTTTGAACATCTTCTGTAACTTTGTTTTTTGTTTGTTAAAAGCTTCCTTTGTCGGTTTATTCCTAATAAAATAAAATGTTTGAAAAACGAATAGTGGTCCATATCTCCGCAACCGTTACTTTGCGGACCCATGTTTATTAAGACTTTTCTGCTTATTTTGGTTCATACTATTACTTCCTGAAATATTTTACACTCTTTTTTAACACCCTGTATATGAAATTTTTTTAACAACCAAAAAGTTAAGGAGACAATTGAATATTTTCATAAATATAAATTTGAAATGAAATCATTTTTGTACACAAATTAGTGTCGTGTCATACAGGCTTAAGGAACAATACGTTTGAACTATAGGCCTACACAAGCAAGCGAGATTTTTTCAAAACAAAAATTTACTGGCGTAGAATAGAACCTTAACTTAATGTAGAAAACAAAGTAATTCATACGTCTTTGTAATTTTCACTTTGACACTGTATTTTGAAATAGATGCGTTGAATTGAGAAATGGTATTTAAGTATAAGAATAATGGTTAGTGGCTTGATATAGTTTTTTTACACCCTGTACACATTTAGTGGTTAATTTGCAAAATACCTCATTTTGTATAAAAAAATGTTGTCCTTACATCACGTAGAAAATATATGGCATTCCTTTTTTATGGCTGAAGGTATAAGGAGTAAACGTAGGCATAACAACTTCAAGACCGGTTCATTCATGCAAGAGGCACTACAAAAATGGCGGTTTATGACTTTGCACTGTTAGGTATGCGCGATGTAGGCCACATCATTGTTCTTGAAGATTAAAGTTAATTTTCCGCATTTTTGTTTTCAATTAATTTAAGAGTTTGAAAATATTTCCGCTTGCCTGCTTGTCTCTTTAGCCTTCCTCAGCTAAAATCAATGCAAAAAATTAAAGGAAGTTGCTCCAGTTTAGCATTACACTTCGTCACTTCCTGGATTGATCTACTTGTTATATCACTGTCTTACCAAAAGTGCGACTTCTTGTCTATAAAACGCCAGCCTCTCGAGGGGGTCGTTTATATACACAAGTTAGAAACTATCTCGTCACTGTACTAGTTATGGAATTTTTCTTCAGGCTGTAAAATATGGAAAAAGGCATATTTTTACCTCTTATGTTTATCTTACGTTTCATGAATTTTACACGCCTGTTGAAAAATTAAAGGAATCCTTATATTTCAACATTTTTATAGTTTAGATGTATTTACTTGGTATGCCATTGTCTTACTAAAAGTGCGATTGTTTATAAAACCCCAGCCTTAATGTATTTTACTGCATGTAGACCTTTCACTGGTAAAACGACCTTGAGAATCCGTTCGCGAAAAAATCCTCGCTATTATTTTTGGCAGCACATTAAAGGAATCGTGGCCTAATATATGAGTTGCGCGCGATACTCCGATTTTGTCGTATGAAATTGTATTAATTACAACCGAGAAGAGAATGTCCCACAGAACAATCCATCATGCGTGTACCTTGATCTTAATATAGAAAGCAATTTATCTACTCGAGTACACTGTCATCCGTCTGGTTGGCCTAAACGCTGCAGATGCCAAGTCCGTTTCTATAAAATAGGCCACATTTTAATCATTGGAATGATGTCTGGAATAAGCTCTTTATAAACAACGAAAGTCTGAGACAAGCGGTCGCATTCAGAATGATATATTTCTAGTTCCGTATCATAAATTCTCCAGAGATGTTCCCTTCGGTCCAATTAAATAGAACTACAGATATTTATTTTTTGATGAAGATGTCTACAAGAACTATATTTATTTTCATATAGGCGTTATATCCTAACCTAACCTGCTTCCATGGTCCAGACAGTGTGGAGCTTTAGATGATACATGAT